CAACCCCTTGAGGATGCCGATCCTTGGTAGGAAAATGGAGGAATCTTTTGGAAGACTTATTTAAATCTCACAAAGGTTCTGGCTGTTGACTTCCCAAGTCCCCCATTGGACTAATCAAGTCGAGCTTGATTTGGTCGTAATTGGAAAGGGTAGAGATCCGAAGCAAAGTCAGAGAGAGAGTTTTTCAACACACTTCGAAGTACCAGTGATCATATGCAATATATACAGATGGTTCGAAATCTGAACATGGTGTGGGCTTTGAGCAGTGAGCAGAAGGAAGACTGCTCTGCAGTCTTTCTCGATCGCCTCGATTTTCCTGCAGAGTTACATGCCCTCCTTGCAGGCCGTCAAGATGATTACAGAGAATGCTCCGAACAATTCTATTATAATATATTGTGACTCTCGTAGTGCTTTGCAAGCAATCAGAGCTTAAACTCATCACATCCAAGGTGTTCGCCGCTAATGACCTTAGCTGTTGACGCGGCAGATAATTTTAAATAATCAATCAATCAATCCGGGCTGGGTGTGTAGCGAATATACCAAGGGATTTGAGAAAGTAAAAATGATCTGGGTACAGTTTAATATCTCCCTCTTCTTAGTAAACTGGCATCTCAAGGATATTCTTATAGGAAGGGTTTGTTAGACATTTCAACACGTAGAACAACAATGTCATTATACCACTTTTGAAAGTTCTCGCTAATTCTCTAGTTCTCTCTCTCTCTCTCTTCTTTCTTATTCGCGTGTGTGAATGAATGGATGCATAAAAATACACATATTGTCCATATATATGCGTGTACGTGTGTTTATATATAAGCATTTGACTTATAATGGACAAATGTAATTATGAGTATATTAGTGAATATATATTAATATACTCATCCATAATATTTTCCTTTTCCAGACACACAAAGACGGCTATATTATGCATATGTACAACAAACTCAGCAAGGAAACACCTATTAAAATAGGATCCAAAAACGTCTATGATCACATATCTAGAACCTTTTGTCCTGTCACTTATAGTGCTGCCAAACGTAGAGCATTTTTCTTCTAGTTTATTTCAATGTTAGTTTTTTTTGTATCATATTTTGTAAAACATTTTCCCAGATGTCGAATGCCTTTTTTAGGACTAATAATTTAATAATGTTGAATAACTTTTTAATTTTAGTTTGTACCTACCTGGACATCTTTCAATAGCATAAAACAAATGATAGAAATGAAAACGGAGTAATAACATTTAATATTTGATTGTAATAAAAGAAATTAGACTCAAATATCCTGTATTTCGTGTCATGTTTTTATTGTTATCACTCTCATATCATTATTATTATTTCCTAATCCGGAAAATAACAGAATGATACGATAAGGATTCTCTTTATCGCTTACCTGTTATTTTAACAGTAATTTATATATTTATTTATGTATCTATCTTTTAACATATGAAGCTTAAAGTGATTACAAGAGGAAGCCAAGAGAAGAGTATCGTCTCTATTCACATATGTCTAAACATTTCTCCTTTTTTTTTTTTTTTTTTTTCTTTTTTTTTCCTTTTTTTTCTTTTTTTTCTTTTTCTTTTCCTTTTTTTCTTTTTTTTTCTTTTTCTTTTTCTTTTTTTCTTTTTTTTGTTCTCCTTTGGGAAAAATTACATCTATTTTTTTTCCTAATGCCACATGTAAGAATTATTTGTATTACCTTAAGCTAAGGAGACGAAGTTGGATATACTATTTTGTAATGAAGTTATTTGGTTGTCAACATAACCTTGTAGCATGATTATGATAAATGTATATATGAAAATTGTTTATATTATATTTAATATATATATACATATATATATATACATACATATATACACATATATATGCATTTATATTTATACATGTATATATATAATACACACACACACACACACACATATATATACATATATATATACATATATATATATACATATATACATATATATATATACATATATATATGTATATATATATATATATATATATATATATATATATATATATATATATATATATATATACATGTATATATTATATATATGTGTGTATATGTATGTGTGTGTGTGTGTGTGCGTGCGGATGTGTATGCACACATATTTATACATACATATGAATATATATTTGTAAATAGATGTATATATATACATATACATGTGTGTATATATAATATATATATATATATATATATATATATATATATATATATATATATATATATATATAGATGTATATATAAATGAATAAACTTATATAACTGAATAAATATATATATATATATATATATGTGTGTGTGTGTAAATATAAATACATATATGTAAATTATCACTACTTCGTAAATTTCGGGCTGTGCTGAAAGCATTATGAAATACAAAACACATTATAGCGTAAAAAAATAATCTGCTACATTTCATCTATAAATTTTCCATTTACTAATGGATTTGTATGTACAAATTTTTTGTCTTTTCTTTTGTAAATCTATGTTAAAGAAATTTTGAATATCTTATTACCCTCAGTAAGATATATATAAACATTATTCCTATTGACTATAATTCTACTTCGGTGTCATTTTTTGAATCAAAGGATAAAAATTAAAATGTGACACTCCCACGATAAAAAAAAAGATATTAATTCAGAAATTAATCCATAATAAGGTATTCACATGATTTCCGAAAGGGTACTAGTTACATTATCATCAAAGAATTATTATAAAAAACTATAAAACACTTGCCATATGTGTATGCTCTGAATTTTTAATTTTCCCGCCAATTCAATGAATGGGAAAATCAGGATCGGTAACTAGGGCCTACTGATAGACTCCTTGCCGGCTGAGCACATGTGGAGCCATCTGTATGCAACAAAATTCACCAAAAACTACAGGGGACAGACCATAAATCCGGGGTGAATGGGTTAATAGTCTAAACCAGTGATTCCCAAAGAGGGGGGGGGGCCAAGAACAGAATTTCTGAGGCGATATTTTGAGGACATAGGTGGATAAAACCACTGGCTGGGGGAATTTACATATATATATTTTTTTTTTTCTTTATATATATATGTGAAAAGAGGGCAACAACCTTAAAAAGATTGGGAACTACTGGTTATATATATAAGAACGTTCGAATACTTTATTTCTCTTTTAAATAGGTTCTGTTGAAAGAAAATCAATGCACATGTTCATGTTTATTTACCTGTACCGGAAATATTTCTAGGACACAACAATATATATATACATTTTTTTTTTATAATTACCTGGAATTTACACAGTGCTATTTAACCCATTGGTGCCGGGTATAACGTGTACGTACGTGCTATGCCCACCGTGAGTACTTGTTTGATTGTTTTTACGCATAGATACTAAATCACCAATGAGCCAACTACGAGTACCGCCCGTCTCGCCCGTTTACCCGTTTCTTTGATTTACAAAATATTTTACGTAATCTTATTTTACTGTTACTAATGTTAAAAAACATTATAAAAATATATTATAGAAATATATTAATTATAATGTTTATGATAAAGATAACACCATCGATTTTCATAGCACTAGTGAAAAATACGTTTTTCGCGCCATTTCAAATCAGGCGCTAGCAGAGCCATCTATCGGCAGACATTTCACGAAAAACATAGAAAGTGGGCACAGCATTTTCCCCATTTTTTGTTCATTTTCCCCGGCACAATTGGGTTAACTACCAGTAACTATGAAAGGATACACGAATATTTGTCGCTGGGAACTAGACTTAAACTGCAGGAATAAGATGTTTGTATATAAAGCTCAAAATATTTACTCTGATTCACGAGCAGCGTTATCTTCAAAATATATGTCATTATTAACAAAACGAAGTTATTACTGCACGTTCTGTCCCTCATAGGTTCCCAACTGTCATTGAGTATTTGCAGCAGAATAGCAGAAAATAGTAATAATAATAATAATAATGAGAGGAAGAAGAATGATAATAATAATGATGATGATACTAATTCGAAAAAATAATGATAATGTTAATGATAATAAGTAACAATAATATTAGATAAAAATAATAACTAACTATATTAACAATGATAATAATAACAACAACAAAGATAATATCAACAACAAAAAATATCAATAAAAATAACGAATTATTATATTTAAAAAGAAAGGAAAAGAGAAACAAACAATAAACTAGATTTTTTTAAACATCGAAAAGTATTCTAAAAACATCAGACCAAAAAACATCTAAACCTGAAATATCCAGAACATGTCCAATCCTAAAATATCAGACCAAAAACATCCATAAAAAAAAATCAGACTAAAAACGTCCAGACAAAAAAATCAGACCAAAGACATCCAGACAAAAAGTTAAAGATAAATAAATAAATAAAATAAAAATATTAAATCAAAACAAAAATATCTATACAAAAAATCAGACCAAAAACGTCCATACAAAAAATCCGACCAAAAATGTCCGGTCAAAACACATTCAGACAAAACAAAATCACTACAAACACCCATACAAGAGATCTGATCAAAAACGTCCAGATCAAAAACATACAGCCACCCCCCCCCCCCCAAAAAAAAAAAATGCAGTCCAAAAACATTAAATAATAAAAATGAGGCCAAAAAACGTCCAGTCCAAACAAAATATCAGACCGAAAATGTCCAGACCAAAAATGTCTAGTCCAAAAATATCCAAACCAAACACATCAGACCAAAAATATCCAAACTAAACACATTCAGACCAAAAACATCCTGTCCTAAAACATCCAGACCAAAAACACCTAGACTTAAAACATATCAAAAACATCAGACCGAGCACAACCAGACTAAAGAATCCGACCAAAACCAACCAATCCTAAAATATCCAGACCAAAAACACCGAAACCCATAACATCCAGACCAAAAACACCCAGCCCAAAAAAATCAGACCAAATCATTCTGATCAAAAACATCAGACCCAAAAAAAACATCCAGTCAAAAAAAAAAAACATCCATTTTAACAACATCCAAACCAAAAACAACCAGTAAGAAAAAAAAAAAAAAAAAGAATACCCAGACCATACCCAGTCCAAAAACATCCACTCGAACTAGAAAAAGTACGCCCTCCGTTTGGCAGCCTCGTACGTGAGTGGGCAAACGACGCTGGCAACACTGTCGTAGATGGTTTCGGATCCTATTTCAACCGGTCGTTTCTTGCTGAGTTTGTTATACATGTGCAAGATGTAGGCGTCTTTGTGTTCCTGCAAAGAGAGAGGGAGGTGAGTGACAGTCCGGTTTCTCTAGCCATTCTTCATATTGCAATCTACTTTGTTGTGTGTGAGCGTGATTGTATGACTAAGTAGGTATTAGTTCATGATGGAATCTTCTTAAAGCGGGTGGGTGTGTCTGCGCAGATATTATGTTTGTTTACCCCTAGGAATTTGCTTCCTATTCCCTTCTTAAAGTAATTCCCCCACTGTGTCCAGGTATAGAGTTGCATATTCCTCAACGGCATCAACTGCAGGCTGTCGCATTTCTCGTAAAGGATCTTATTCAGGTTCTTGGTTCCGCAGACCTTCTTGGCGATGTGCGAAGCCGCCCCTGGTCCGTTGACGTGCCACTTGGCCACCTGGAAGGGTCAGAGGAAGGAATGCTGCTATTTTTCATGTTACATACATTTCCTGATAATACATGTCCCTGCTGAAAACTCCCTAGGTCATATAATCCATGAACTCACCTGGAAATTTTGTTTCAGGTACTCCATGGTCTCGAGAATGAACCGATGGCGGGCTTCGAAGTGCATGATGGCGTTGTTGGCGACCTTGTCCTTTTCGTCATAAGCGATCGCGTTGTGCAGGTGCGTGACCTTCCTGACGCAGATGCAGTCGGTGTCGGTGGTCATCCCTCCCCACAGCCACAGCAGGACGTTCCGCAGTAGATTAGAGAGGTTGTTCGCCGGCCAAGCTTTGGATGACACACGATTAGATGTTGATCAGATGGAGCTGTGCAATACTGAGGGCAAAAGCGGCTGAGAAGGAATTTCAGAGTTCCGTTCATTTAGGCGTTTAAGAGTATAGCTGGGTACAAAATGGTTGTATGGCACACACACACGCACACACACACACACACACACACACACACACACACACACACACACACACACACACACACACACACACACACACACACACACACACACACACACATCTCAAAGGCCACATTTTTATAAATGTTTGTTCCTATCTATATGTGTCTCAGTATATATCTTTCGATCTCAACATTTCTGTCGTATGACTACGCATTTCACTCGTTGATAAATAACTTGTTATAAAAGGGAACACGTTGTAAGAGTCATATATTCACTTCCCAAACATATATATTTACTAAGCCATTTGATATATGTGCTTCTAGAATCTACCTTTATTTTGTAATATTTTGGATCAGGAATAGAATCACGAGGAATTGTTATCAGAAAATTCATCTCTAGTATCAGAAACAGATGTTGGGCGGAGAACAGACTTTGAAAATTATACGCTGCATAACAAAGTTGAAGTGGCCATATGTAATAATATCTTTTCTTCACCAATTACCCAATCACAGAATTTACTTTAAATCACTCAGTTAATCTACATTAGTTTGTCCCCTTATGCCATCTATCTAGAGATATCACCCCACTTCATTTAGTTAGAGAGAGAGAGAGAGAGAGAGAGAGAGAGAGAGAGAGAGAGAGAGAGAGAGAGAGAGAGAGAGAGAGAGAGAGAGAGAGAGAGAAATGCGTGTTAGCTGAGTTTTGACCTGTGTGTAGGAACAGTGAGAGATGTTCGTGCGCTCTCAGCCCTGATCGGATCGTAAGATTACTGGAGGCAAATGTAGGTATCCAATCCTATATCTGGAAGTCTTGACATATGTGGGGAATTTTGCAGTAACATATACTGCGCAGTATACGTTAGAAATGTATGCTGCGTTTGCAAATGTTATTCGAATTATCAGTGAATAGTTCGTTTACATCAAATTAAACATTCAAACAAATTGGACCTCCAGAAAACACGGCCAATAACAGTAATTGCATCACAACCATATCGATAACAATGTGTTGATATGATAATGAAACTGGTGCTAGATCTGTGGCTAATGACCTGACTGTGATATCTTACAAGACGAAGTTGATGGCAAAATGCAAATACTGATAAAAAAAAAGAATAACTCACGCGTATTGTGCGCCCAGATCCCCGACTTAAATAATATCTCAAGGGGAGTCCCGGTAAACATCGCGTTGAGATCGGCGCCAACGACATATAAATTTCTGTACCTCTGCTTGAGTAACGTGACGAGCCTGTCTGTGTCGTCTACGTGCGGAGCGGTGACCACGTACCAGGTCTTCGCTGTTGGGTTCTGGTTTGCGAAGCTTGGTAGAGAGGAGACGGGAAGTATTAGTTGCGAGAGCGTGGACTCTCTTCTCAATCAACAGCGTTTTGACACTGAAAGATTTCGGATTGATTACTTCCCTTGGATTTAGAGATAATGTCGATTATCGCAAATCTGCTATGATCTCTCTATGGAAGGCCATTTTTTTAGCTAGACAAAAAAAAAAAAAAAAAAAAAAAAAAAAAAAAACAGATCACCGCCTAATTAGAATTACAAATCGCTCACTATTGTTCCTACATAAAAAACATCTCGAAAACAAGGCTCACATTACCTCTCCACGGAACACCACGCTCTGTACAGTGGCCGAGGGTTACAGCTTGTCTCCGCGAGGTACACGTTATAGTCGCTGGTGTTGGGCGTAATCTCCCTGATTAAAAATAATAATGATTACGGTGTGAATAATGGTGAAGACAGTGGTGATGAATTTAAATGCTTCTTTAATTTTTATCCTTTTTTGGACAATACATATGGACACACATGCAATAATTATGCAAGAAAATGTAAAGACATTATGATTGTTCATATGTCTAGACGAAGAAAACTGTCGCTAGCGCTTTACTATTGTGCTATCTGGTATCCCTTGTATGCAGACACCTGGTGTAGCTTATTCCAGTATACACTTGGTATCACACTTTTATTAAATGTGGTACAGCGGGAATAGTGTGGGACAATTACATATCCATATTCTGAATTGTACAATTGCATGTTACACTCGAGTTTCTAGGTTTGACAAAATTACATAGATCACTGGTAAGAACTGTTGTCGAAATATTTTAGATTTTAGTTTTGGTGTTGTTAATGTTTTTGTTGTTGTATATCTATTTCATGTTGATATACTGCTTTTAAATTATTCCACACTTTCATTCGATTTAGTTTAATGAAAATTTAAGTCTGCTTTGAGTTTGCAGGGAAGTTGTTATTTAAGTCACAACGAGAAGTTAGTAACATTTTTTTTCTTTTGTTTTTATGAAAATTAGCGCTTAATACTGATGATGATGAGCTACAATTCTTTTGTTATAATTTTATCAAAATTATTATTATCATTAATGTTATTGTTATTATCATTGCTCGTTACTCGATTGTTCTTAAAGATTTCTTTTGTGACCAGAGGAAACCTAAGAATAATGATAATGACAATAACAATAACAATGAAGATACCTGTAACACCGAGGATGAAGTCATGCAGTGGAACCATACACTCAGAACACAAGTGCACGAGCAGGTGTAACAGTTGACTTACCTGACGAGCATCGGCAGGGCCAGTATCTCCGATTCCTCAGGTACATCATTGACGTTGGCTTTGCACAATTCTTTCTGCCAGCTTTCCAACGTCTGTGTGTTCTCTTTCGGGTGTTTTTCTGTGACTTCTTGGGCAATGTCAAGCCTGACCTCTTTTTAATGGAAAAAAATAGGTTTAGTTGTTTTAGGCGAATCAAGGGGGTGTAATATACTTCAATGGATATCATTTGCCTATTTGTTCTGTGTGTTCGAAAGTCTGATCCATGCTCTCTCTCTCTCTCTCTCTCTCTCTCTCTTACTCCTTCTCCCTTTCTCTCTTTCTCTCTTTCTCTCTTTCTTTCTTTCTGTCCCTCTCTTTCTATCTCTCTATCTATCTATCTATCTATCTCTCCCTCTATCTATCTCTCCCTCTATCTCTCCCTCTATCTCTCCCTCTATCTCTCTCTCTCTCTCCCTCTTCTTTATGAAATCTCCGAGTCTCCGAGTCTCCCCCTCGCATCTCTCCCCTCTCCCTCTCCCTCTTTTTCTCCCCTTTTTCTCTCCCTCCTTTTCTCTCTCTCTTCACCTTCCTCTCCCCTTCCTCTCCTTCTTCCTCTTCCTCTCCCTCTCTGTCCCTCTCACTCTCATTCACTCTCTCTCTCTCTCTCTCTCTCTCTCTCTCTCTCTCTCTCTCTCTCTCTCTCTTACTCTCTCTCTGTCTCCCCTTCTCTCTCTCTCTGCTCCCCACTCTCTCTCTATTTCCCCTCTCTCTCTCCCCTCTCCCTCCCCTTCTCTCTTCGCCCTCTCTCTCTCCCCTCTCTCTCCCCCTTCTCTCTATCTCCATCTCCTTCTCCCCTTCCTCTCCCTCTTCCTCTTCCTCTCCCTCTCTGTCCCTCTCACTCACTCACTCACTTACTCTCTCCCTCTCCCTCTCTTTCTCTCTTTTTCTCTATCTATCTATCTGTCTCTCACTCTCACTTTCTCTCTCTCTCTCTCTCTCTCTCTCTCTCTCTCTCTCTCTCTCTCTCTCTCTCTCTCTCTCTCTCTCTCTCTCTCTCCCTCTCTCTCTCTCTCTCTCTCTTTCCCTCACTCTCTTTCTGTCTCTCTCTTCCCCTTCTCACTCTCCCCTTCCCCTCCTTCTTCCTCTCCCTCTCGGTCCCTCTCACTCACTCACTCTCTCTCTCTCTTTCATCCTCTCTCTCTCTCTCTCTCTCTCTCTCTCTCTCTCTCTCTCTCTCTCTCTCTCTCTCTCTCTCTCTCTCTCTCTCTCTCTCTCCCTTTACCTCTCTCTCCCCCTCTGTCTCCCCCCCTCTCTCTCTCTGTCTCCCCCCCTCTCTCTCTCTCTGTCTCCCCTTCTCTCTCCCCCTCTCTCTCCCCTCTCCCTCCCCGTCTCTCTTCCCCCTCTCTCTCTCCCCTTCTCTCTCTCTCTCCATCTCCCTCTCCCCTTCCTCTCCTTCTTCCTCTTCCTCTTCCTCTTCCTCTCCATCTCTGTCCCTCTCACCCTCATTCACTGACTCACTCACTCACTCTCTCTCTCTCTCTCTCTCTCTCTCTCTCTCTCTCTCTCTCTCTCTCTCTCTCTCTCTCTCTCTCTCTCTCTCTCTTTCTTTCTCTCTCTCTCTCTCTTTCTCTCTCTCTCTCTTACACTCTTTCTCCCTTTCTTTGTCTCACTCTTTTACTCTCTTTCCCTCTCTCGATCTCTTTTTTCTTTCCCTCTCTCGATCTCTTTTTTCTTTCCCTCTCTCGATCTCTTTTTTCTTTCCCTCTCTCGATCTCTTTTTTCTTTCCCTCTCTCCATCTCTCTCTCTTTCCCTCTCCCCACCTCTCTCCTCTCTCTTTCTCGTTCCCTTTGTCTTTTTTTCCTTCCTTCCTTCTCTCTCTCTCTCTCACTCTCTTCTCTCTCTCTCTCTCTCTCTCTCTCTCTCTCTCTCTCTCTCTCACTTACCTTCCCTCATCTCTCACTCCCTCTCGTTTTCTACTTCAAGACATTATGTCTAGAACCCACAGAATAATATAAAAAGCAATACATATTTCCAATCAATACATCTATAATACTAAACGTTGCTGAGGAAATACATTACATACCAATTCGTGGCTTCGTTACTTGGTCCCGATACATCACACTGTACAGGATGATGGAGCCAATGGAAAGCACGAGGAAGAAAATAAAGCTTTTTTGGCGGGTCATGCACGGAGACATTCTGAAAACATAATAAAAATGAAGACAGATTTTTTTTTTTTAATGAGAGGTGTATATTTCTTTAATTTTTGTGTATATAACTGTCTGTCATGCAAACCAACCTAATGTTGCAACACTAACATTGTTTCCACTGAGCAGTTAATCCTTCCTTAATGCATGACAGTCACCAAATCCGTTAGACTGTGAAACTGTCTGGATCTACCTACATTTTCATTACTTCTCTCAACAGTGTTTCCAGACCATCTACTAACACATTTCTCCCACATATTCCTCACAACACTATATCGCGTAAATACAGACAGAAACACACACAAACGCGGGGACCGAAGGCGACTTCAACTTTCCAAACGTACACTGGATTGTTCTGTCCCGGACACCGACCTCATCGATGACTGACGCACAAATTACAGTAATGCGAGATCACAGGACTTATGCTTCAGGGGACAACATCATCACTATTACTATTGCTATCAATGTTATTATCCTTAGGCCTTTATTGGGAGATGTTTTGTTCTCTTTTCTGGCGTCTTCGCATGAGTGCGCTTCTTCCGACTTATTTGTTCCGCAAGGCGTCCTCCTAGAGCCACTCGTCTTCCTAGTAAACATTAATGCTCTCCAATTCTCTATACCGAATTCATATACTAGAATTTGGCTAGCATCAGAATTTTATTTCGACCTGATGATACTGAAGTCAACTGTATCTATGTTCAACAAGATATAGATTCCCTTGGACAGTGGAAAAGAGCTTGGCATATGACATTCAGAAAAAGCAAATTCCCCAATCCGATACAAGTACATATCACGTGACCAACAACTTGGCATCCACGGCATCTCTTAAAGAAAAGGGTAGACGGGCGAGACAGGCAGTACAAGTACAAGTGTAGCCATCAATGTGTAAAAACAATTAAACAAGTAAACTCAGTAAACTCACAGTGGGTATGTCACATATACATGACACCCGTCGCGAATGGGTTAAAGCCAACATAACAACGGGGTCCCTGAGACATCAAGTATAGCTTACAAACACTTGTACAATCATCATTGGAACACTACATGACAACATGTGGCCCCTACAGTTCAAATATGTCAATATGAGGGCCGCACGATTATAAATAATTACACTAGTACACTTTACAGGGCACATTAACAAACAGATTAACATGTACCTGCTCCAAAATGTTTAGACAACCATACAGATCTGTAATCATTTACAAAATCACACACATATGATAAAAATAAATTGATAAACATAAAATAGGTAATAATTTAATAAATACGTAAACAGACATCGCAAACACGAATAATTACAAAAAACACATACACCTATCACACGTAACTCACATTGCAACAAATGTTTGTACGCATTCTTCCCACACACTTAACGCACAGTATATATGAGAACCAAGAACAGTTTAAACATTTACGAACAAATTACGCAGACACCTCACAATACCAGCACCTACACAAACGCAGATACCACCAGTCTCTAATTCAGGGATGCCCAGTCTTTTCCCTATACCTGCGTCCTTTCTTTGGATCATGAATTCAGATGCGCCATGTACCTCATGCTCCCTCCCCCCTCCGCCTCGTTCTGTGCCTTATAACAATATTTTTTATAAGAATAATTCGCACTGTTACATAACGAAATCACTGAATGTAAAAATTGTACCGAAAGTATCCAAACAGATTGATTGATTGATTATTTAAAATTATCTGCCGCGTCAACAGCTAAGGTCATTAGCGGCGAACACCTTGTTAGGTTGAAACATTAAAATATTTAAAACGTTAAAAATTTATCAATAAATGTCATAAATAACAATAAATATTATA